AGTCATTGTATTCATATAGGGTCAAGGAGTGTAGCTGTAAAAAATCATCAAAATCAGGGTTGAAATAACCGTTAAATCATGATTTTTCGTTTATAACCGTCGAAATGTTTTGTCCAATAAATTGATCTCTTAATGTTTATTTTTTCTGAATTTTGGTGTATATGATCTCGAAGTATAAACAAACAAGTTTGATGGTTGGATCGTTGAGTAGCTTTAAATTTATTTATTTTGTACATATAACACTTAAGAAATTGAATAGTATATGTATTTATTAGTAGCTTTAAATATTTTTTAACACTTTGCGCGACCAATTTAGTATTTCGCCGCGCAAAGTATACTCTCAAAATTTGGGCATGTGCCAAAAATGGGAATTTAAAAATTAAAAAAAAAAACGACTTGCGCGACCAATATATAATTATTCGTCGCGCAAAGTATATATTCTAAAAATTTTGGCGTGTGCCAAAAATGGGAATTTTTTTTTAAAAATTTTTTTTCGACTTTGCGCAACCAATATATAATTTTTCGTCGCGCAAAGTATATATTATAAAAATTTTGGCGGTTACCAAAAATGGGAATTTTTTAAAAAAAAAACATTTTCGACTTTGCGCGACCAATATATAATTTTTCGTCGCGCAAAGTATATATTCTAAAAATTTTGGTGGTTACCAAAAATGGGAATTTTGAAAATAAAATTTCGACTTTGCGCGACCAATTTATAATTATTCGTCGCGCAAAGTATATACTATAAAAATTTGGCGGGCACCAAAAATGGGATTTTTTTTGAAAAAAAATTTCGACTTTGCGCGACTAATATATAAATATTCGTCGCGCAAAGTATACTCTAAAAATTAGGCGGGCACCAAAAATGGGACGCGGGAATATTTTGGTCGCCCAAAAGTTGGGCGACCAGAAATTCGTCGCGCAAAACTGAAAAAATTTGGCGGGCACCGAAAATGGGAATTTTTTTTAAAAATTTTTTTAAACACTTTGCGCGACCAATATATTGTTTCGTCGCGCAAAGTGATACGTTCTTTAAAAGCAAAATAACTCCTCCACCATTTTCTCAATGTCTTCTAAATCCTACCATTTCTCTCTTTCCCACTCCCCAAATCCTACAATTTCTCTCACACTCACTCCTCTCACTTAATCTCTCATCTCTCTCTTCACTATCTCTCTCTCTCTCTCACTCTCTCTCTCTCACTCACTCTCTCATCTCTCTTTTCATCATCTCTCACTCACTATCTTCTCTAATTCTCTCACACTCACTTCTCTGTAAATTTTAAAATTTTTTCATTAATGTGTGTTTTTGGAGTTAGTTTTGAGTTTATGCCAATTATTTGTCATTATTTTATGTTATTGTTTTGTTATTTGACTCACTATCTTCTCTAATTCTCTCACACTCACTTCTCTGTAAATTTTAAAATTTTTTCATTAATGTGTGTTTTTGGAGTTAGTTTTGAGTTTATGCCAATTATTTGTCATTATTTTATGTTATTGTTTTGTTATTTGACAATATTTGTTTTTTTTTTTTTTGTAGGGAATTGTTGAGGCTTTGATGGCTAAAGTTGAGGATTTGATATAAGAGGCTTGTAGATTTTATTATTGTACTTTGTTAATTTAAGTGTACATTTTGAATATTATGTATATTGGATAATTTGA